AATTTTTTCTAGAAAATTAAATTTGCTTTTTTCTTTTTTGTTCGCAACATTTACATTATTTGGTTTAACAGTTCATTAAAAACTACAATTTGGTTTCTAATAAAGTCATTGATTGCTCGCTGATGCTTTTTTTTTTCTTGCTTTTGAATGCACTTACTCATTTTAACAGTCTTTAGCGAAATCTTGAATCAACTATTAGTCACTAAGCATGAACTAAGAATGTCTGCATAGCGTGTCGGTTTGGAAGTAAAAATTGCTATTCTAGCACTAAAAAAACCAATTAAAATAAGACCAAAGATACAGCTTGTATAATTCTAGACATGTTTTCGTGTTTTTCTTTTTTTTTTTTCAATTCAAGTAAACTAAGATCAATATCTAATTATATCAAATACAGTTAACTTTGATTCCATATCTTCTCTTAGTTTTTGTTTTTCAAAAATTTTTTTTTTAGTTGAAAAATGTATATTTTTGTACTCTCCTATTTGCTAATAATATTAAATTGAATGTACTCATCATCAGTTTGTTCAAACAAGAAAAAAAAATGTTATTGCTGTTGCCATCATTGCTGTTGCTGTTACTGTCAATGACTAGTCAGATTTATCATCACCTCTTGAATTAAGGTCATATTTTTCTTCAATTTTTTTTTTTTTTAAATTTTGAAAAATTTTTTCAACGATTGTTATTTGTTGATTACTGCTTTTTTCTGGTCTTTTGCTGTTCGTCGAATAGAAAGAAGAACAGAACAAGAAAAAGATTTGCGGTACCAATAGGTAATAACTGCACACATACACACAATTATGTGCATATATATATGTGAAGTTTACAAACTTTCGTTATCATTAGCAGCAGTAAATTTGTTTAATAAAACATTTTCATTTTTTACACCAAAACTTTATCAGCTTTTTAGACAACAAAACTTGAACTGTAGTTGTTTTATTTTGACAAAACTTTCATTTGACTGTCATTTCTATCCTGTATTTTATATAGTTTTTAGAAAAAAACAAAACGCACAAATTTGCTTTATCTATCTTTTCGGCTTAAACTTTTCGGTTTTTATAAGTCAGCGCTTTAATATACTTTACTATACAATATTCTCTGAGCAAACAAAAAACACCTTTATTTTAACACTTTGTTAACATATTTCTTTTGACAGTCTTCACATGACCTTTAAGCTGTTAAATCATATTTTATTCTCAATTACTAAAATTACTGTTTACTCACTCTTCACCGCTATCATTTTTTAATGTTTACTGACATATCGTGAACTGTTAATTGCCTCTTTTAATGCATCAATGACTATTGTACAGTTGCTTGTTGCAGTAAAGAAAGACCGGCCAACAATGATACTTATTTTTCTTTCGCTGTTAGCATTACTTGGGACTACCCACTCGTATCCTAGTTGTCAACCAGCTCCAGATCCATGCCAACCACCACCACCACCTGAGCCATGTCCACCACCTGTACAATGTCCTAAAACAGAGTGTGTCTGCGTTCCCCCACCGCCGCCACCTCCACCTCCACCACCTCCACCCTGCGTTTGTCCAGTAAGTCTGTTCCAAATATTTTATAAGGAAGAATCGAGGAATCACCGGTTAAAACAGCAGCCTAAAAAACAATTTTTAAAATTTTACAGTACTAATCAACCAATCTTATTATTTTTAAAAACATTATCTAAAAAAATTTTACATTATAGCCACCACCGCCTCCACCGCCTCCACCACCTCCGCCACCTCCGCCGCCACCGCCATTTTGTCTAGTAGGTTCTTATAAAATATTTCGCAAAGTTTGTAGCTTAGGTATCAAAATGTTAACTGAATACTCTCTTTCGTATTTTCTAGTATTAGGGAACAACTTTTAACACGCTTACTAAAGTCAGTTACCTATTACAGCCACCACCCCCACCTCCACCACCTCCACCATATCCATATCCACCTCCTCCACCTCCACCTCCTCCACCTCCACCTCCATATCCATATCCACCACCACCTCCACCACCACCTCCACCACCACCTCCACC